AAAAATTAAAAAAAAACAAAAAAAAAAAAAAAAAAAAACAAAAAAAAAAAAACAAAAAAAAAAAAATAAATAAAAAAGAGAGTATGTTAATGAATTATATGGCTGCTCTGCGGCACGGGCTGAGAATGGGTTATGTACCTGATCACCTGCACCCAAGTCCTTCTCTTCCCTGGCCAAATGAACACCATCAGCGATATTTGGAGATTGTTGTTCGATCGCCACCAAAAGGTTCAACGTATGCCAATCGAATCCTGCCACGATCATGATATGCTTACGTTACATATTCATACGTGTTCTTTTATTTATTTTTTCCGAAAGATAATGAACAGGATATTGGTCATCCAATCGATCGAGTCATGGAATTTTCTCCAACAATTTATTAACGTGTATGTAGCGTAAAGCACATCTTTTTATAAAAACTTGAAATTTTTCATTATTCTTTTATATATATGTATATATATATATATGTATGTGTGTCTGTATGTATGTGTGTATATACATATATATTGTACATTTACAAAAAAATATATTTTTTTAATTAATAAATAAAAGAAGCATTCTAAAAATTTTTATATTTAAAGCTGGAAACTTTCGTGCCATGATTCGATCGTGTATTTATAAAATTTAATTCTAAAGAACCAAATGAGGCGAATTTTATGAAGGATAAGATAATAAAAATATCATCCGGCCACAGGGCATATATATATATAAGTTAGAATTTTTTATGTTAGCAAGGAAATTTTTAAATGTTTTAGATGTACAGATAAAATAAATTTAACAAAATTGTAAGGGTTGCAAAGGATTTAACAAACATACATCACTGAAAAGAGAAAACCTAAAGAAATAAATAAAAATATTTTTTACCTTTTGAAGAATCATCATATCCAATGTGTTTAACAGTATCTCGAACAATTTTTTGATAATCTACCACAGCTTTTGATGTAATTTCTCCACATAATAAAACCATCCCTGTTTTTGTCACAGTCTCTAAATAATTCAAAAATATGATATATACATATACATATATAAATAGATTATATTTTGAAGATTATAATTTGATGAAAATACTTTATATTTAATAGTAGTAAGTTAAATTATATATATTATATTAAGTACTAGGTCCCTTCAGAATTCTATGATTCAAAATTAACTCAAGGTCATAGTAACTAATTTATAAATAGAGGTTATAGCATCAACTGCTTCAAGTCATTAAAAAAATTAAAATCATTTTGAGAAAACTCACCACAAGCCACTTTTGCATTAGGATCTTGCTTTAAATGTGCATCTAAAATAGCATCACTTATTTGATCACACATTTTATCTAAAAAAAGAAAAAAAATAAAGTACTTTATATTATAAAATAATAAAAATTTTTTAAATTATGAATAATTGACTGTTTTTATTCATATATGTGTGAATTTCATGATAAATAAAGCATATTCATAGAAACAATTGCATAATCATAAAATGAAATATATGCTACATTATTAATTGATTCAAACTTGCTATATATACGTTTATAAAATTTTATTAAGATGCCCTATTAAAATTAATATTATAACATCTATTCTACAATAAATCAAACAATATTTAACCATTTTATTCAATAAAAATTTTTAATTTTATCTTAAATTATACAAAATAGTTAATAATGTGAATTAAAAAAATTATTATAGTTCAATAAAAATTCATTAAAAATAAATATTAACTAATTTAGAGTTTACACGTGTAAAAGATAATTAGTGAATAAGTAATATAAAAAATTGATGAATAAAAATATCTTATATTTAATTTTAATAAGTTAAAAACAATTAGGTTAAGAAAAAATTTTAATATATACGTAAGAAAAAATATATATAAGTATAAAAAATTAGAAATCATAAATTGCAATATTAAGAAGCACATGGCGACGCCGGAATACATATTCGCTTCTGCTTGATATCAATTTTAAAAAAATATAATTTTAGTATCTAAATGAATCAATATTCAATATTTTATAAATATTAAGAAGAGAATTTAAACAATGAATAAATCGCAATATAATACCATCCCCACATTTCGAAGCTTTTAAGGAAAGTAAGAAAGCGGGAAGGAAGGGTAAAATTGCGGCGTGCGCACACGGTATATATGTATGATCCGTTCATCGAGTTTCATGGCGGCACACGCGGCTCTCCGACATGGAACTCAAGACGAAGTCGTACAATATCGGAAATACAGAAGAGTCATGAGGTGAACGCATGCTTTTTAAGGTTCCTACCTGGATGGCCTTCACCAACGGACTCTGAAGTGAAGAGAAAACTGCCTTCCTGTTGTAGCTCGGGTGGTGTATGCCCGTTAGCATATCCGTTCATGTGATGAGCGGTCTCCGGCATTTTCTTTCTTTTCGTGATCGTGGATATAGACTTCGGTTTCTTTTGTCTACGTTCCAATACTTTGGCCACGTGTTGCAATTTTATTGACACGTTCAGCTCGTTCGATGTCGCTAATACTTAGAGAAAATGAGAAAGTTTAGTCCGAACTTTATATCCTACTTTGGTTTCGCACGAGCGAACCTTACACCAGCACAGCACAAAACGTAATAGTCAGACAAGCGCGGAGCAAATGCACTATTGTACAGTGTAGAAAGTAAAAGAGACTCCCCACTCTGTAGTGACCGCTATTTATAACCTCGGTACCTTCGTTTCGTTCGGCTAATTTCGAGTCACGTGACACTCTATCACCCAGGAGATGATGGTCGGCGCGGAATTCGATTAGATTTGTGTGAATTTTATTTTTATTTTTCACGTTTTGATGTTTAATTCCGATATTTAATATTCCTGTAAGAAAAAAGATCACATTTTATTTTTTTTCTAAATTTCACAATTATAATTCAATGATTTAATTAATTTTAAAAATAATTAAAAATTATTTACAACAACAATCAATATATTATTATGTCATTTATTAATATATTTGTATTGTATTTAATAAAAACAAAAGCATAAAATATAGATATTATTTTTTTTCAATATTTAAAAAAAAGAAAAATCTTCAAAAAATCTGTTATTTAGAATTGTATTTTTTTATTTATATATTTTTTTTATTTATGCAAATATATATGTATAATATATGTATATGCGTGTGTGTATAAGAGCAAAATGATTTAATAAACTAATTATATTAGTGTAAAAATTTTTATATTAAACGAAATTAATATAACGAAATATTCATGATTTTTAATGATCACATATTTTCATTAATAACATATTCATGTGAATTTATAATCTCCCATACAAACCATTATCTTAATCAAATTAAAAATATTCGTCACCTCGTTAATACAGCGTCTTGATTCTATAGAAAATCGCTGGTTATTCGAATGGAAAACTTTCAAACAACCGGATAATTGTATATTGAACTTTGAGCTTTGAGTTCAAGCCGACTTGAATTATCAAACTGCTGTACGTTTTGTATATTTCCTTCGAAAGAACAGAATTGCTACTGAGTAGATGTTATGTATTATTCGGACTTTTATATATTGTAGGATCTCCCTCCAAGTTTGAGAAATACTTGAGTGGGGTTGAAGAAAGCATTCATATAGTAATGCATGTTGCAAGATGTAAGTATTTATGTATATATAATTGCACAAATTTTTAAAAAAATATTAGAGTAGGATAAAATAATGAAACGATAAGATGTTTTTTTATTGCAAATTCTATTAATTTCAAAAAAAAGAAAAACTTTATATATATAATTAAAAAAAATGGTAGTGAAAATGAAAAGAAAAAGGAAAAGAATTTGAATTAATGAAATGAACAATGAAAAATAATTAATGCAATTTCATTAATCATTTTCAATAAGCATATTTTGTCAACAAAATATTGATAGTAATATATACATGTATATAATATGTATTTAATATATTTTTATTATATAATTATAATATATATATAATATGTATTTCAATGCAAATATTTATATTCTTTTAGATATTCTCTAAAATTAATTTTATAAAAATTTTCATAAAAATTCTATCTTGTTAAAAATTAATAGTAAAAAAATATTAGAATAATTTAACATTGAATATATACAAATAAAAGATTGATAAATAAATTTTATCTATTATTATTGCATTATATTATTTAATCATAAATCGATTTGTAAAGTATTTCAATTCGTAAATGAATCAATTTAAATTTCAAAATTAATATTTTTTTATTTGAAAAATTAATAAAAAGTAAATTTTATCATTATATCATATATATCTGAATTATTTAAAGTAAAAATCATTATTTAACTATATCTTTTTATTCTTTTTCTATAAATAAAATAATATTATATAATTAAATAATAAAAAAATATTATATCAATATTAAATTATTTAAAACTGAGCAAATTTTTTATAAATCATTCTATATGTAGAAACTTTTATATCTTTTACATCTTTACAATAAAATTTACGATAATATATATATAAATATATATATAATTATATTTTCTGAGAATTTTAAATTTTTATTAATTATTCTAATTAATTTTTTATATTTAGTTATTTAATTAATAATAATAATATAAATTTTAAATTATGAAATGAAATCATAATTTTTTTTTAAATTATACTTAGTATTAATTTTTTTTCCTTATATAAATAATAAAAGTTCAAATTATTTATTTTGTTTAATTTATGAAAATTAAATTAATAATAATTTAAATATAAATTAGATAATGTATTAAAACTGTTGATTCATATTCATTTTTCATCAATGTTTTATTTTTAATAAATTTATGTTTGTAATGTTTGTAATGCAATTTTTTTTATCAAATTGAAATTATCTTATGATATAATATGTTCGCTATGTAATTACATTCTATTATACTAATCGTACTTGTGATTTTTCCTTTTTGTAGAAGACACGTGCAATCTATGCAATCTCATTTATTTTGTATCTATATTATCTCATTCTATAAACATGCAATCTTTCTTAATGAAAAGAAAAAATAAACATAGTTATGTGTAATCTTTTCAGAATGAAATCATAGAACAGTCTGAATATCACTGAGACAATTAAACATGAGACATGCGTAAACTGCAAGCAAGCATTCCTTTTTTGCAATTAAATATCTTTTTATTTAGGTAATGAAACGTCTGTGAAATTTAAATCTTATATTATAAGTTTCTTCTAGGATTTCTTACCAGGTATTTGTGTTATAACATTTTATTTTGTTTACAATTCGCTTATTATATATTTATTGTAAAAATAATATTTATTTCAACTTAATTATTAAATAATTTTTAGAAATGAAATTTTGTATTTTGTGAAATATTATCTTCTCAAATTTATATGATTACGTACATAATACGAAATTTGTTAGAAAAAAATAAAGAGATGAGAAATACAAACTACTTACATATATATATATACGTATGTGTTATAACATGTAGTTTATTTTTGTTAATCAATATAATTATTATAAATATTATATAATATATTTATAAAAATAATTAAAAATTATCTGAAACTATTATTATCTGAATATAAGATAATAACTAATAATTTTCATTAAATAAAACATGTGAAAAATAAATCCAATTTTATAAATAATAGATATTAACACTTATTTTAATCATTGTTTTTTATAATTTTTTTTTTTAATGTAATGGTATCGGTCATTTATATTGTTCCATTGATTGTATGGTTCAACGAATTTTAATTAAATATTTTTCTGATGCAAGTTTTATATCATATTAAAGATATATAAAAATAAGGAAACTAATTATTAAAATGACAATTAATATAACCAATTGTTATAGATTTGTTAGTAAATTTGTAAAAATATAATTAAAACCGCATTACACAATATGAAGTCGCTTCCATACTTAAATTAACGCTATTACTATTTCAATAAAAAAACGAGAAAAAAACAATAGTGAAAATTAAGAAAAGTAAAAAAAATAAGTAATGAAAAAAGTTTACTTATTCTTTAATAATATCTGATAATAATAAATAAATAATTTTATCTTATTATTAAATAATAATGGAATAAATAAGCATTTTTTATTATTCAAGCTGAAAATTATAAAGATATTAATTATAAATGAAACTATACTGTTGTATGATATAAGAAAATAAAAAACATATTTCGATATTTCTAAATGTAAATTAACATTTTAATAAATAGTGTTATACATATTATTTTTTACAATTTTTGCTTGTTTCAAAACATTAATTTTTTAATTAATTCATTTCACTAAATGATTTAGCTAATTCATTTGATCTAGTATTTTATATATCTGTATTTTATAGTAATCAAAAGAATTGTGATGTATCATTTTTTTTTAATTTTTAACAATTTGGAAAAAGATTGTTGTCTTGTTAATTTAATAATTGTGAAATTTAGTCTGAGCGATCTTTATTGATAATGATAATTTTTTTTTTAATCTCATATTAATATATAAATAATTTTTTTTATTTTTTTCGCAGTCTATTGATTTTTACGAGCTTACAAGATTTTTTTTCCTTTTTTGTTCCAATTATATTTTCCGGTGTTTTGTATTTGAAAATTTCGAAAAATATTTTAAACTCAACTAATAATTTTATTATCTATTATTTTCGTAAAGATTTATTTTTTATTTTCACGATAAAGTTTATGTGTAGTTTTTTCGTTTTCGATACATATAATAAATATATATATTTTTAATTGAATATATATTTATATTATATTCAGATATTGTATAACATATCTGAATAAGAATTATTTATTTAAATGATATGGAAATATTTTATATTTTTCTGTTTCCATCGTTTTAATTATATTTGCATAAAAACAAATTATAGTAAGTTCAAATCATTTTCATAAATATAGATCCATTATTAAAAATTTCATTGATTCTTTTCAAATATTTATTCTTTGAATGACATTCTTTTAGTAATAATTTTTAAAAGATAATTCAATTCATTGGATTACTGTTGATGATTAAGAATATCATATTAAACGTCCCTTGGACGTATGAAATCAATATCGTTTCGGAGTTCATTGAACTGATACGTTTTTGAACTAGCATTCTTAGAATTCTATTTAAAACGATTTATATCGCATTATTATTGATAAATATTATTTATATTGCATACGAATTTCATAACTTTATTATTTAATGTAAAATTAAAATTATTATTTTATTAAATATTATTATAATTTTATTAAAAATTATTTAAACTTGTTTATGTGTTTTAAATTTATAAAATTTAATAAAATATATATTCAATTAAAATATATATTTTAAGATTATTTGAAGATAAATTGTATACTATTATAATATCAACGTAAAAATATTTCATTCAACAGAACATTTTTCAATCGAATTATTATTATTATTATTCTCAAAATATTATACATTTTATATAGTGAAATTCGAGTATATTGTTAGTAAAATATCCTACCTTCAATACCTATATATTCATATAGACAAGATCATTTTTTTTTTATCTATTGAGAAGAACATAGTAAGTATATACGTTGACATAAGTTATCTTACTTTAAAATTTTAACCGTACGAAACGCTTTGTTGAATTGACTTTTCGTTGACTTATTGACTTTTCAACTTGAATGACACACTATATGTATCTAGTATTGTCAATGGTTTTTTATTATTATTTTAGTATTTCAAGACTACATTTACAATTATATTATATTTTTCAAAAAGATTGTGTAAGAAATGATACATTAAAAGTATCTATATTTTAATTCATGCAATTTTTAATACATCATTTAATATACATATGCATTCTATCACACAAGTATATGTACACACATATAATAATAAGAATAATAAAATATTATCTCTAATAAGAATTTATATATATATATATATATATATATATAAATTATCTTTTATATTGTAATATTATATTTATTAATATATGCATATTATACGTTAAATATTACGAAAATGATTTTGTTTTTTTAAATTAATACAAAGATCAATTTAAATAATGACAAAAAAAAAATACAAGTAAAATTGATTTGTCTTTAATTCGTACATTATTAATTTGTGTAACTTTAATTATATTCATATAGTATTCTTATTTTAAATTTAATAAAATATCAGAATATTCATGGCCAATAATATATATATATATATATACATAATATATGTATACATAATTAATGAGATCGATATCATATCGATACTATTAATCATTAATATCAATCTACAAATTTTAATTTTGTGTACCAAATAATGTCAAAGACATAGGTATTAAAATGAATCGATACTTTGAAAAAAGTAGCGATTTCAGTTTCATACGTTACATAAGTTTTAATCCATTTAATATTTCTTTTTTAATTTTCGATATCCTTAGATATTTCATAAAAACATTCATATTTTTTTATAAATTAACAATAGAATTTTAAGTCTCAATTTTATTTTGATATATATATATATATATATATTGATATTTTATTTATCCATGTATCTGGTTGGAATAAAATAATGGGGTAAGATGAACTTCTTATTTTATATAATTATGATTGATTCACTTTATAATTTTTATATTTTAAAATTATTTATTGCTTCATTAATATAATATAATATATAGTATAATATATAACGAATATATATGAATTATATATCTTTAAAGAACTGAATACAATGCTTTAACTGTTCAATATAAATTTTACACCAACTATAATAAGATTGACTTATTCGCATATCAAAATCATATTCATTAAATTAATATGATCATCTTACCCCGGTACCTCCGCCATTTTACCCAATACTTGGGTAAAGGTCGTCGCCCATTTGACAGCACCTCAATTGATCGGCAACTAATCGGTATCGGCATATTCATGTTAATTACATGTATTTTAATAGCAGTGCGCCAATTCAACGGCAACAATTCAATCATTTATCGACATGGTCTCACATCTTTTCGCTAGCAACCTGAATCTTTCGCCGATCAAAGTACGATCGTATGCTGCACGTACGGTGACATCGACTTTCTATTCAATTCATCTTATTATGAAATGTATATGATGTCTATATTTATGTTTAGACAATTGAAAGTTTCTGTACCGATGTCGTGATGCTGTTAAATTGGCGATAGTTGTGAATATGTTGATGCCAGTTATCCATCAATTGTCGGTTAAATACTAAAAGATTGGATGGCAACTTTTAGATGGCGAATTTATTCACAAATTAGTTTTTTATAATTTTATGACCACATCATATCTTGATGATATAAAAACAACTATAAAATTATTTATACATATATTTTCATTTTGTAAGATATGTAAGATTGGCAAAAATATTAATTTTTTTTTTAATAAAAAATGAAAAAGTTATTTTTATTTTCGCCTTAGTATCGCCATCTTATTTTTTACTGCTATATTTAATTTATATATGTTCGTAGTTCATGGTCAATTTATATATACATATGAGAAGATATTGTTTGACATTAACTGATTGCTATATCATTAAAGCAATTTCTTTCTTTCTTATTTTACTAACAAAACATAATTTATTATCTTAACGGTAGGAAGAAAATATAAACCAATAAATTGGTTAGAAAATGATAAAATTTTCACTAATCACTATTACAATGAAATAGGTCAGGGTGTTGTGTTACATTTATCCTATTTTTTTTTCTTGATTATGATTATAAAAATACAATATTATCAATAAAAAGAGATTATTAATAGAAATAAATGAATCCATATAATTTTGAATTTGTTATAAGACAAGAATAATAAGACGGAAATAAATGTATTTACATATTATTTAAGTGCTGAGTATCTATGCCAATAAAAATAAACTAGATAAGAAACATCCGCAAATTATTATAAAAAGTGAAGAAAAATTTTTCTTTTTTGATGAAGTTAAGTAATTAAGAATTTTCTAAAAATAAAACAGATTATAATTTTTAACTTTTGAATAATAGGATTAGGATTTATTTAATTAGATTTTAATGTCGTAAATTGTAAATTATTATATCTTTCTTATTAAATAAAAAATGATATAAATGATGAACTAAATAATATCTATAAATCATTATAAAAAATTCATAAAAAATTTAAAAATATAAATAAAATTTATTAACAATTAATAAATAATTTCGTATATGAAAAATATTTGAATCAATTTTGAAAATAGAAATCGATACTATATCTCTGAAGTATACAATGAGTTAAATGCACATTTATTATCATATCTTTTTATTGTATGGCGAAAATATTGTAAAATTTAGATTAATTGTAAGATTTTTTATTATTTTTAATTTTAATATATTTGAATCATCTTAAATTAATAAAAACTGACTAATAAAAAATGACTAATGAAAATTGTAATCATATATCATCATATATCATTGTAATCATTGTATATCGTTATTATATAATTTATACAAATCAAAATTACAATTACAAAAAAAAGTATCAATAGTAAGATAAGAATAAAAAAATAACATATAATAATGTATATAATAAGATGTTAATTTAATAAATTTTAATAAAATGTTTGTCTATCGCAACTTTTTGATAATAATTCAAAAAATTGATTGCGTTCCAAATTACTTTTTATTAATTTATTATCAGAAAATTAATAAATTTAGATAATCAATTTAAATTATTTTTAAAAATTTATTAATAAAAAATAAAAAACCAAATTAAATAAAAAAGTTTTTTTAATTCCTAAAATTATATTTTTATAATATTTATATTATAGCTATCATCGATTTCTATAATGTTTATTTCAATAAAAGTGATTTATATAAAATACAATTTATAATTTTTTTTTTATGAAGATAATTTTGTTGGAGAACTTATCAATTTCTTCATTTTCCTTTTTCTTAAAATAAATAAAAAAATTAATTAATTTAATTTAATAAAAACGAATCCTATATATATTTTCAATTACAAATTTTTATCTGGGGTTTGCCAATCAATGTTTAATTAAATTTCAAATAAGCCAGAATTTTAAGTAAAATTGTAAAAACTGTTATCCATATTGTTTGTAATTAAGATTAGTAGAAAAATTCAAGTTTTACGCGCAAAGACGGTGACAAAGTTGGTTCGAATCAAAAGTTCAGTGACCCTTGACACTGACTCGCGTAATACATGACTGAGCTTATGTATGCTAGAGAAGAATATAAACAGTGAAAGATAGAAAATGACAGAGAAAGGAAAGAGTAGTTTGCCTTGACCCTGAAAACCCTTTGGTTCTGTCGTCTCATACTTCGTTTATAAAAGATAGATATATTCCGTCTCTTTTCTTACTTTGACTCGTTTTCTCTAACGTCTTCGTTGCTCTCTCTTTCTCTCTCCTAATGTATATACATATATGTATATTTGGTGTCTTTCACACAGAAAAAGCTGACCATGCGATCGATGTTCAACGAGGCAACCAGCTGCTTGAAATAGATGAGAAGGAGCCTTCTAAATATTAAAGGAACTTATTTCGACTTAATATGCTTTTACTTAAGGAAAGAGTTATATTTTTTAAAAGGCTACGTTTCTATTCTTAACTTTTTTCTCACATTATTCTTTTGTCTCTTTTTTTTATATATTTAATTTCTCTTATTTTTATTCACTTCACAAGTGTAAACTCAAGAGGTCAAAATATTTCTATTCAAAAATTTCTGTTTCTTTTAAAGTAAATTTTTTTTTAAATAGTATAGACTTCTTAATACGAATGGAAAAAATGTTTATGTGTATAACATGATACTATTGAATGTCTTATTTACGTATAAATATGAATTATGGTTTTCTTAATATTTAAAATATTATGATTTGGAATATCGAATTTTTATTTAGAATAATAAACATTTTTATTAGTATTTATTTTTGACAAATTACATAATTATAACATAATTATATTTTCAAAAGTACATAATGATGAAATATTAATGTAATATTATTTTTTATCGAATTTATGATTTGAATATCGAGAAAGTTACGAAATAATGATGACGAATGAATTCTTGTAATTTATCCTAGAATCGTAGTTTATCAAACGATATACCGAATCATATGATTTCTTAACCACCGATTAAATTGAATCATATAACATGTATACATACATATATAATTGAATAATATCGTATAAAGATTTCATCACTTAATTTTTCATATATAATATAAATTAAGTAAACGTTAAACGTACATTTCCTGATGCACTATATTTTTTATCTTTTTTATTTCTAAAATTTATCGATACATTTATCAATCACATTAATTAATAAAAATTGTTTCTGTGATCAAAAAATTAATAGTTTTTATATTATAAAATTAATAGGTTTTATATTGAATCAACATATGACTTTATATAGTTATTGAAATCTTATAATTAAAGTGAGAAATTGTTTAGTCTAAAATTTTAACGTGAATAATAGATAAAGAATTGTTTTTAAAAATGAAATAAAATATAAATTTTACCTATAAAAATGAAATATGTAAATACTGCCACAATGATATGACTCCCAAATTCTCGTAACAAAAACAAATTCACATAATAATATATATATTATTTTAAAGATATTAATATTGATATAATACTGATATAATAAATATTCTATTTGTTATGGAATGAAATAGAGAAAATGATATCATGAATATCAAAATTTATGTTACATGAAAATGTTCTTTTAATGTGTCTTCACCTAGCGGCAAAAAGTTGTATTAAAAGTTATACCATATTGTATTAAAAGTTTGTATAACGTTATATTTCTATACATAGATTGTATTATTGAAAATTTAAAATGAAAATTAAAAAAAGGTCTAATGCAATAAGGGTACCACCAGTTAAAAAAGCAATAAAAATTAAACGAAAATCATCAGGCTTAGAAGAGGAATCAACTGTATCCAAAGCAATTGAAAATGTTAAAAAAGTACTTGAGGTTAGACGGTGTTTAAGTATATATTATTTAAGTATTTAAATAATATTGTTAATATAAAATTAAAATATATTTTAATATTATAGAAAAAAAAAGTTGAAGTAATAAATACAACTTCAACTCCGAAAGTAGAAAAATCATATAAAATTAATAAAACCAAAATTAGACAAAAAAAAAATTCCAAAAAAAACATTCAAGAGGTATAGTATATTTAGGACATATACCTCATGGCTTTTATGAAGAACAAATGACAGATTATTTTAAACAATTTGGAAATGTAACTAGAGTACGTGTTGTTCGGTCAAAAAATGTAAGTAATTATTATAATTATTAATTTATATATAATATAAATTAAGAATTTTATATTATATATTATATATTTTATTTCCAAAATCTGTTTATTTTACATTTTTTACAGATTTTACATTTAGAACCAAATTTTTAAATTATAATCAGTAAAACTATATAACTTATTCAATCATTTTATTAATAAACATTTTTTTCATTTAGTTTAAATTTATCATAAAATATTATTTTGTTCAATTTCTAATATATGATTGTTTTTGTTACATCATAATAGTATAAAAATAATATAAAAATATATGATAATATATATATATATATATATATATATATATATATATA